TGATGGCATTTTATATTACACTTCATCCTGACGGATAAAAGGACTTGATCACAGGATGAATAGTCAATTGAAAAGGATCTTTATTCTATTTGCAGAAAACAAATTTAGTCAAGTCCTGGTATTCTTGGTGCTGTGAAAAGACAGGTTTCACAAATTTGAAAGCTATTTTTTCTCATCTGGGTGTAAGAATTTAAACAAAAAATATGAATGATGCTGGTGAGCTGTCTAACAATGTTCAAAACAGCTACAGAACAAAGGGGAGCTATACTAATTAAAAAAAACCAAACCGACAAACAGCACAATTGAAAACAAACTCCCCAAAAATTGAACATTAACTCAGCTTCAAGCGTTTCTCTTTTCTTCTCACTGGCAAATGGAGAAGTTGATAGCAATTAATGCAATCCAAAAAATAGGTGTAGTTAGTAACTGTAGATACCAAAAGGGATATATATGGTTGGCATAATTGAGGGCAATAGGAAGTTACTTTGCATGTATAGCAAGAATACAAAAACCAGTAACAAAGAGTATTGGCCCAGTGTTAGATAGACATGCTGTAAGTATCAAGAATTAGCAGAAAAAGCAAAAGTGTTGAACAAGTGTTCTGCTCTGTGATGGGGAAAAGCCAGATGTATTCAGTCAGATAATGAAATAGCTTTCATTGACAGTAGCTAATGAGGATGTTAAACCGTAGCTATTAAAGTTAGACATTTTACAATTGAGATTTCAGCTTAAGTTGCATCTTGGATATTTGGAAAAGCTGGTCCATGAGTGCTGTGGAACATTAATGTTGATTTTTTAATAAATCCTTTAAAACTGGGAGGGTTCCAAAAGACAGGAAGAAGCTAACATCATGCCAGTACTTTTAAAGGCAAAGTGGCATAACATGAATAATTATAAGCCTGACATCAATCAGTGGAAAATATTGCATAGCTAACAGGGGGCTGACTAATTATTCATAGGTATTAATTATCATTAATATTATTCATAATTCAGCCCCATGTTAGCTAATAAATTTAAATGGGTCAGTAAAATTAAAACTGTTTTGAGTGTTTATTGCTTTAATCAAACTGAATATATTTTTTTAAAAGATTATCAATTAGCTTGACAGAGGTAATGATGTGGAGGTAAGAAACTCTGAAGAACATTTGACTTGACTTCATATGTAGGCCTGGTTACGTCATCTGAATTATGCAAAATCAAGGTTAGATTTGTTACCATCTGTAAGTACCAGCAGTTAATCAGACTAACTATAGTGATGCCTCGTGACTGAAAGTTGAAGCCAAATAAATTCAGGTTAGAAATAAGGTACATATGTTTGTGAGGAACAAGGTCATGGAAAAAATTCTTCATTCTGGATGTTTTTAAAGGAAAATGTGGTATAAGTAGTTTGGGCAGTGAAGGTGGAGAGCGATGAGGAGCACCAGAAGCAGCAGAGGCAGCGACAGGGAGCTAGTTCCCCCTCCCTGCCAGCCTGCCCGCACAGGCAGCACTTCTTGCTTCAACTC